TTTAAGAAAAACTCTTGGGGTAATGAATAGTCAAACTAATGTAATTTTGATAATGATTATGTTACACTCTTTAAAGTTTTCTGATATTGATTAAATTTATTTATTATTTTTTTTATATATTGTAATAAACTGGTTAGTTTAAAATTTTTGTTATCTGTCTGCAGTATATAACCTTAGGGAGCTTCTATTTACTATTTCTGCTAAAGTTTTCTAACTTAAATTTGCTTTTGCATATTGTGGTATCGGCGCTTTGTATTTGTCAGATACATCTCTGTTGCATGTTTTTCTGGTGATCTGTATTACTTTAAATCTTAATTTTTATTCAATTTTAGCAGGCTTTTACACCCAGACCTTTGTTTCCTTCTTTTGTATTTTTATTTTTTTTAAAATCTCTATTACACTATTAGGTTAAAAATGCCGTTAAAAAAAAACACACACAATGAAAAATGTTTAAACAGTTGGAAAAAATTTAAAATTGGCAGTTGTTCACAAATATTATATCACAAAAAATACATAATATAAAATGACAAAATAAATCAGTTATACTTTAATTCGATTCTAAATTTAAGTTTGGTTTTCATTTGAACATTTCTGACACATCATTTCTGCATGTTCCAAACAAAAATATTCAGCACATTTTATGCAGGAATATTGGGTCAATCTACTTTTCTTATTTGTTTGACATGTAGAGCACCTTTTGCATTTATTTTGGTTACTGGGAACCTTTGTTTTTTTTCCTTCTTCAGCAGTTGGTCTGTAGGTTTGTAGTTTCATTTGCTAATCCTTTGATAAATTGGGTTTAGTCATGCGTCTAAGAACTTCTTCATTGACTAATTCTTTTACCAGTATTTTCAAAGATTCTTTCCTGCTCTGAACAGTATTCTGATTTCCCAAAAATACAACTAGTCTGTTTATAGCTGAAATATTTAGCATCGAATAAAATAATATCATCGGCCATTGCCTTGTATTGCGAGCGCAATTATATAAGTTCCACACATGTTATCCAGAGCATCGACACCGCATTTTGTACCATTATAAAATGTGATTATATCTGGCTTTTTTCATCTCCAGTGTCTGCATCTATAGCATCATCAAAGGGCATACTTGACACAAGTAAAACATTTTCGCCTTTTTTCGGTACGTATGAAATTAAAGTGCAGTTTTTAGAAAAACCAAATAAGTTTGAATGTACTTCTTTTCCTTTAGATTTCACAAAACTGGGAGGTATTTCTTTTTTATTCTTTCTTATTGTTTCAATGTAAGAAAGTTTTTTATCTTTTAGGGCTTTTACAACATCAGTAGAGGTAAACCAATTATCTGCGATGATATTGTGACCGCTGTTGAAAATTGGTTTCGATAATCACATAACAACATCTAGTGGGGAATTACTGACACTAAAGGGACTTTCGGGCTGTTTTACAGTATATATTTTTAAATTCAATGTATAAAGCGTTTTATCATCAACTGCTGCAAAAATTTTAATGCCATATTTATTTGGTTTGATGGAATGTACTGGCGAAAAGAGCATCTTCCTCTAAAACCTTCTAATTTCTCATCTATCGTAACATTTTGTCCCATTCAATAATTACACTTACATTTTCCCACAAATTTCTAAAAAATTTCTCTAATAGGTGCTAATTACCGTTTTACTTCATATCTCTCGTGATTGTCTCTCTATCATCAGCTGCAGCATCTTAGAAGAAATTTAAATCGCTTCAGACTCATTCCATTCTAAACATCTCAATACCCATTATCAGTAGACACAGTTCTTCCCAAAATTTGTCGATTACTTCGCAAAAACACCAGCAATAAAAGTAACCTGAAGGCTTTTATTTTCAATGCTTGTTTATCTTGCATCTCTTTCGTACGGAAGGACAGAAATTGTAGAAATGTTTGTGAGTGATTTCACAATTTTTTCAATATTCATCAGGGAAAAAAAAAAAAAAAAAAAAAAAAAAAAAAAAAAAAAAAAAACAGTTTGAGAGTATATAGTTTATACCTTTCGAATTTCCGAACTCCAGGTAACGGGGGGCGATCTATTTGAAATTTTTCTTCCGGGCGATTTTGCCCATTTAGTGCTTTTGTTTTTTCCTACATAAAAATCACCATTGCTAGTATCATCATCAAATTCTGAGTCATTATAATCACTTTCAATACTTTCAGAATACACTTCAAATGTTTCTAAAATATCCACTTCTTCATCATCATTTTCATCACATTCTTCAGCATTTAATTCCTCATTTCTAACAGAATATTATGGACTAGTTCAAGGTCTTTTTGATTATTCAAATCTAAAGCATTTAGCACTCATCATGGGAAAAATAAATAAAAAATCTATAAGGAATCTTGATACTTCCATAAATCTTCAGGAGACAAACGTTATTGGGCACGTAAATCTGACAGATACAAATTTTTCAAATAAGGTTAAAAACTGGAAATACTCCTACACTGAACTGGTCGTTATTGCATTCCAAAGGAGGGGGTGGCCAGATGGGCAGATACTGATAAGGTCAAGGTCGTGAGAAGTTTAAGGGGACTTCGACACGCCTGTATCTGTCAGATCAACGCGCTCGATGAGTGTTAAAATGTATCAGGCTGATACATGTGAAGCTGGTAAAAGATGGTAAAAAATGCAGGGTCATCTGCATGTAAGCATTCTTATATTTGGGTACTCCTGTAATAATAATATAAGAATTGTTTTATTGTTACGCTAGTATTAAATGTTCATAATGTCATTTTCTTTCAGTCTTTGGCTAGTAAAGTAACAGGAATGCTATTAGAATTATCTGCAGCTCAGTTACTAATGCTTTTAGCATCTGATGATGCTTTACGTCAAAAAGTGGATGAAGCTACAGATATAATTTTGTCACATAGCAGGTACAGTCATCAATTTTATTTATTTTTTATTTAAACAGTTCATTAGATTCAAGTCAAGTTGATTAAAATATGCTCATCAATACTAACTCTACGGTTAACCCTTGAATAATGCAGAGGTTACTAATGTAGATATCTCGCATTGTTTAAATTTAACATACAAATGCTCCCCACTTTACGAATGAGTTGTGTTCCGAAAGGCTGTTAGTACTACAAATTTGTTCACAAAATGTTAACACAGTTTGTTACGTATATCTCCTTACCATGATCGTGAGATCAGAACTATAAATATTACCAAATAAAGAATTAAAAATACAAAAACAAATAAATAATATATTAATATGTTTAACTACAGTACATTATAAATAATGAATTACATTACGATAAAGTATGTATCTTGGAGTGTCATCTTTTAGGCATATGTGGTTGGGATGAGGATGAGGCTGGTAGATGTTTGCCATGGGTAGGGGAGAGTCAACGTCTGACTCGCCCTTTAAAGCCCTGTCAACAAATAAAAAGGGCATTTATGATAACAAAGCTGTATGAGATATAGAAGAAGTTTGCATGTTAGATGGGCCAGAAGCACCAACTTTTGAAGTGTCCTTTTTAAGATTATAACGGTCTTAAATTTCTCGGAACAGGTTTCCTTTTTCTTTTGTCATAAATAAGACAGTAGCACTGTATGGCATTGTGCACAGCAGATTTTTCTTTGGCAAACCTTTTAGAACTTGGTCTTGGTTTTTTTTTTTTTTTTTTTTTTTTTTTTTTTTTTTTTTTGGGGGGGGGCCTTCTTTAAATTTGAAATAAAAGATATTGGCATAAACTTTGAATCAAACTTTTTATTTGAGACAGGTTCTTTCTCCTCCTCTCTCTGTTGCTTTTTGAGATGCATTAAAAGTGCTGTAAAGTGGTATCAGGTTTTTCATCTGTATTTTAAGTTCCATCAACTACATATAGTACAGTACAAAGTCCTTGATACAGACTCTTCGGGACTTTGTCAATTGCGGATTTGGATTCTTCCTTATATTAGATCATCAATTTAAATCTAGTAAGATGGCATGCAGAAATTATACAGTTAAAATATGAAATCGTAATTAATGAAATAAAGAACATTTATGAGCTAAAGTATTAAAATTTACAAAAAAAAAAAGCTTAATATTTATATGTTACTTTATTAAAATTTTCTTTTATAAAGTTGCTAAGTTGCTCGATTTTTGGCTAATACTTTGTCTGTACTCTGTAGACAGACATAATCTCTTGTTTAGTACATTGTTGAAGTCCTGTAACTGCTGTGTCAAGAATTCCGACTAACTTGTCAGTCAAAATTTTCTTGTTTTTAGTAACTTCTCTGTCACTTTTTTCACTATCGGTAGTAGTTCTGGATCTAGAACCATATTACAGATTTTGCCGTCCATTGAATGATGATTGGGGCATTGTCATCGCAGTGAAAAGCTTCTGTTATATTATCATCATTTATTATTGCTTCTCCACATTTCTTTACAAAATCCATTAACTGGAAAATTTTACCTGTATTTTTCGATATCCAGAAGCCTTCAAATTTGCGGCTATCATTTTCATCATCCTCGTCATGAAATATAGTAGCTGGCCATAAATTATGGCAAGCATTATTTAATGTATCTGGAGACACATCCTCCCACAATCTTGTGATGCTCCACACAGCAGATTTATGCTAAAATATTTCAAAAATTCTTGAATGATCTTGCCATTGTTCGAGAAATAATACATGGATTTTAAAAATGCTACTTTATATTTGCATTTCATCGCACGCACTATTCCGATATCCATAGGCTGAATGACGGACATACAATTTGGAGGGAAGAATAATGCAGATACATTATCTTAGCATCCGCTATACATTATTGGCTATATATCATAAGATTAGCGACGAAAGAAGTTGTTTTGCTAAATTTTGTCTTGCTCCTATTGCATACTGAATTAAGCCTAAATTGTATTAGTTTAGTTTTTACTTCAATGTAAGTAGTTTAAGTTGCTTCGTTTTATGTGATAATATTTTCTCTTTAATTCTATAAAAGACATAATTCGTGTCAGTTACAAAGTTTCCGCCGTTCAAGTCCCAATGCTGTGCGGAGAATACCGACTAACTTGTCAATCGAAATTTTTTTGTTTTCATACCTCTCGTCTTCATGTCTTTATCCATTTTTGCAGCAATTCCACTTTTGTTTGATGGACATCAAAAAATACTTTCGTTTGTAGATCCTTGGAAGCTCCAGCATCGGAAATTCTATTTGTCATAATTGAAAGTTCAAGTTTACTTTTATAAACTTGCTCTTACAGTCTGCAAAAAATAATAAGCCAGATCCAATTCGAAGATTAAGGAACAAGGCAATCATCAACATTGACTGAAATAGATAATTAGATAATTTTAGCTTATACCGTCCGTTATACATAAAACGCGCACGCGAAAACTTATTCCGCGCTTGCGCGCACACACATGCGCAGTTGTAAAGGTCTTACGTGCATGCATAAACGGCTGTGCGCATGTGTCAACGCGGCGCATGCGCAGAAAATTTTTAGCTTTGAGGTCCGGATTATAGATCATTCCGGATTATGGGTGTCCGAATTAACTTTTGACTGTACTAGTAGGGGAATGTTTCGGTTTGAGATGTATGCCAATCAGATACTCGACTAAGGAGCCAAATTATTAATCTCGCAAATTTATGCTTACATGATTCTTTCTTCATAATGAGGTATTTTATTTAGTGCCTAAGTAAAATTAAGAATTGGAATTTTTAAGTAAAAATCTCCATATATTTTATTATGGAAAGAAATATCAAATGCTCCTGCGTTAAACATACCCCCCCCCAAAGTTTCAAATTTTAAATTTCACCCAAAGGGGCATTTTTTTAACGTTTTGTGTGTTACCTTTATTTATTAAAAATATCATGTTCTGTGTACTTAAACCATAAAATTCAGTTCAATAACAGTGTCGCAAAATAATTTTAAAATGAGCATATCTTTAGAATTTCCGCGCTGGAGATAAAATTATTTTTTCTGTAGAACGTTGCCGTTGCTTGCTTTGAAATCATTGAATTTGTTAATAAAAAATTTGTTAAAGTTTTACAAAATATGAAATGAATAATAAAACAAACTCCAAATTTCAAATTTGGTCTTCCACATGCCCATTACGTATTCAAAATTCGATGGCTCTATGTACCATTGTTTTATCACAATGCGAGAAATAGACATACATTTATGCAGATTTTTGTTATTTAATTTCTTGAAATACAATGCAGGACTCTAACATTTGGTGGCAACAGTTTGAAAAATGATTCGCTGTTTATAGTCATTGAACACAAAATCGCAAAACAAAAACAGTAGTCCTTCAGGGACTTGAGATCCAGATTTTAGATCATTTGGGATATTGGATATCCGGATATCGGACTTTATATATTTTTTTTAAATTGGCGATTACATCGAAGTCCATTGGCTGTAAGGTCAATGTTATTGTATTCTAGCATGTATAAGTAGTACCCTTAACCCCTCCTTTTTTTTAATTTTTAACTTTATCCTAGGATAAACCCCAGATAGTGTTTGCCACCTCTCTCTCTCTCTCTCTCTCTTTTTTTTTTTTTTTTAAGGTGTGAAAGCAACTAAAGTAATATTTACCACATGCCGAGACAAAATTTCTATCATAGGTTAAAAGGAGTGTTTTTCTGTATTTAGCACTACGTATTCAGTGTCACTGTTGGTACCACTAGAGAAGTTGCTTGCATTATCAGTATCATTCTTGCTGGTGCAGTATCCCACAGTATGTCATCAAAACCTACAACCACAACTAAACTTGTACGTCCTATGTAACACTCTCCAAACAACAATGAATTTTATGCTCATTTGTTAAATACACTCTGATATGTTGCATGCACTGCTGCTCTGCCACTTGTTTGTATGTACTTATTTCTAATCATTCACATGTATAAGAAGCACACCTGATTTTCATCTACTATTTGTGAAAAAAAAAAAGTGCAGATTATAAACTACAGCTTATGGTATATTAAGTCATAAAAACATAGCTCTAATTCAGTTTGGAAATCATCTAAATATAGGGGTTGGCTGGATTCATTATCTAAGATCAGGAGAGTCTTGAAATTAATCCTTTTCTTCTGGCAATATTATTATACCTATGGGATGAAATGGTTTAAAAAAAAAACTCAAGTACTGTCAGTAGGATCCAGGCCTTCCCATTTATTCATCCTTCTAACAAAAAGGCAGCTTTTATGTATGTATTTTAATGGGCTAGGATTAGCAGCATGGTGAATTAATAAAGGGCTTCAGTTTAAAACCTTTTCAGCAGCATTTCCTTTCAGCAACAACATTAATCTATCCAATGCCGTTTTAAACTCAGGCTTCATGTTTTCTTCTTGATTAATGGACTGTTCTGACATTTTCGTCCAGAAAAGACCTTTTTTATCCATGTTAATTATTTATCATGTGGTACAGCCACCAGCTTCTGTAATTCCATTTGGTATTTCTTTTTGTTTTTTTCTTTCCATTTGGTATTTTCAAATGGTATTCCATTTGGAAATTTTCAGGAGTATTCATAACAGCACATGCATTTTGTCCACTTATGGCAACTTGATGAGAGTGTTCTTGAATCTGTTAAACCACCTATCTGGCACTGAATGTTTTTTGATAAACAAAAGTTGAACCATGTTCTGCTTTTATAGCTTCAAACATAACTTTCTGTTTCATGAATGAGAGCAAGTTTGAATTTGATACTCTGCTCACATCCAAAGGTGTTTTTCCAACTCCCTTCACTTTACTTCTTTTCGATTCGATAACTGTTCCTTGCTCAGTGCGCCTATGACATGTTCAAGTATGCAGTTTTTGTTGCTAAGAATTCTTTTAATCATTGAATGATTCATACCATTGAAGAGTGTGACATTTATCATTTTCTCACTACTTTCAAGTTATTTTATTATAGCTACTTTTTTTTTTCAAACAAAATGGCCTGTTGCATTTTTGTACTATCACTATCAGCATTTAATTTTCTCTTTCCACCAACTATTTCTAATATTATTTAATTATAGGTATCTCATGTCAAAAACAAATAATGTAAATTCCACTTTAGATATACCTTGTATGAAATTGATGTAAAGAAAATGGTGTTCACTGTGCCTTTTGCTATCGCAATATGCATAACATAGCCTTTTTCATGACATTCTGTTTATTTTCTTTTTGAATCCAAACAAATTTCATTCTTTGAAAATTCATAAAATGGGCAGCACCTGTATACATTTTTGGTGTCCTAAAAATTTAACTAATAATAGTTGTTATTGATCTGAATCCATAACAGTCAGTTAACATGGTTATTTGTATTATCAAGTATGGTATTATTCTAATAAATAAATTGTACTGTTATTAATACGATTACATCCTGTGTTTATCATCATCTACATTCATGTTATGTTGTACAAAGTACTGTAGATGTGAAAACATATAATTTGAAAATAAATAAGAATTTTTAGAATGCGAAGTTTCCATGATGACTTTATGTGTATTTTATAGTAATGTGCAATAAAATAAAAAAGTTCCTACATACATTTATTATATGTCTAAATCCTTAATCTGTTCAATGTGCATCAATATGCATTTAGGCTTTGTAGTTTGAAAGTTTTACAAACTGTCACAAATCCTTCTACCCTTTTTGTAATTACAAAAGTATATGTAAAAAGAAATACCACATACAAACTTCAATTGTATGCTTCAAATCCATTTTGTTCAAGGGTAAAACGTATTTATTTTGGGACAGCATTATTTTAATTTTAGTGTTTAATACTATGCACATATTTAGTAATCTATTAATGCTGTAGTTTCTGATATGTAAGAATAAAGGGGTTCATCATTTTCTTTGAACAACAGTAGATGCTATATCTGAAATCTAAAGTTCTTTTATTTAGAGTGCAAGGAGATTATTTGGAAGTTTCTCCATACTAAATGTTGCTTTTATATATGCTTATTATAAAGATACTTATATTATGTCCTTTGGTTATTAAGTAATATTTGAGTCCTAAAATATAAAAAGTGTATTAATTTAATTGTTTTTATGTGAGAATAACTAATTTCTTTTCTAATGCAGAGATTCTACTTCTGAAGCTCTGCTTGACTTGGATGTTTTCAACTTGGGTGAACGTTCAAGAAGAGGAAGCACAACAAGGAGAAGTGATGGAGAAGACGATGATGAGCTAGATGATAATTCTCCCCTCTTTTACCAACCTGGTAAACGAGGATTTTATTCTCCTCGACAAGGCAAATGTACTCCTGAAAGAATAAATGCATTTAGAAATGTTGGAAGAATAATAGGCTTATGTCTTTTGCAGAATGAGTTATGTCCTATTTATCTTAACCGGCATGTAATTAAATACATCTTAGGCAGACGTTTGGGTTGGCATGATCTAGCATTTTTTGATCCTGTTTTGTATGAATCATTGCGACAAGTTGTTGTAGATGCTGAAGGAAAAGATAGCAATGCTATGTTCTCTGCTCTTGATCTTACATTTTGCATAGATCTCTGTACTGAAGAGGTAAGGTTTTTATAGCACGTTTTTAAAGAAAATGTCCATTTACTTTTTTTAAATGTAGAATTAAAGCAATTAAAATAATATGTATAACCTTCTAATTAATATGATAGATATGTTATTATACTAATACTTTTACATTATTTCCATTATGTGGTGTACTTTGTTTAGATTATATAGATGCCGAACTTTTATTAATTAAATGTTCTGTAGTACATTAATGTCATTTAAAGATTTAAATAATCTCATTAGGTTTTTTTATTTGCATGTATTAAAATTTTCAGTTTCTTATTTAATAATTAATAATCATTTCAGAAAATGCTAAAAATGGTATTTTATTCTTTCATATCTTTAATTCTTTAACTTCTGAATAGATGAACACCTAATACAGTAATCTCTGAACTGTAAATAATATAAGTAAAATTTTATTTAATGCTTTATATCAGTCATCAGGTATTATTTTTGAGCTTTTTTGTTAAGATGTGCATTTATTGGCTATACAGTCAAAAGTCGTTAATCCGGACTCGTCGGGACTTCGGCGATTCCGGATTATAGATCATCAGTTTAAATCTGGTAAGATGGCATGCAGAAATTATAAAATTAAAAATATGAAACTGTAATTTATGAAATAAAGAACAATTATGATCTAAAGGGTATCAAAATTTACAAAAAAAAAGCTTAATATTTATTTGTTTACTTTATTAAACATTTCTTTCAATGTAAGTTGGTTAAGTTGCTTCGTTTTTATGTGATAATACATTCTCTTTAATTCTATAAACAGCCATAATTTCTTGTTCAGTTACAAAGTCCTATAATTGCTGTGTCGAGAATACCGACTAATTTGTCAATCGAAATTTTTTCGTTTTCAATAACCTCTGTCACTTTCTTCGCTATCGGAAGCGAATTATAATGACGAGGAATTTGATTTAAATCATATCAAAGACAAAGTACATCGAGATGAAATACTACATTTAGTAAGGAATTATAAGCCAAATAAAATAAAAACATCTGCCCTGAAGATAAGGATAGTGCTGACAGATCAACTTTCAATTCATTACGTGCCTGCCGCGGCGTTAAAGATAAACAAAATTTAGATAAACAAACGTTAAAGTTTAGATAAACAAAGGATATGCCTTTATCCATTTTTTGCAGCAATTCCACTTTTTGTTTAATGGACCTCGAAACATACTTTTGCTTGTAGATCCTTTACATATTAGTAAATATATATCAGAAATTCTATTTGACATAATCGAAAGTTCAAGCTTACTTTTATAAAATTGCTCTAATAGTCTGCAAAAAATAATAAGCCGAATCCAATTCGAAGATTAAGGAACAACGCAATTTGCAACATTAACTGAATTATATAATTTTAGCTTATACCGTCCGTTATACATTAAACGCGCATTCATAAATGTATTTTGCGTACACACACACACGCATATTCGCAGCCGTAAAAGTCTTACGCGCATGCGCATAAAGTTTGTAGCTTTGAGGTCCGGATTATAGATCATTCCGGATTATGGGTGTCCGAATTAACGACTTTTGACTGTAGTTTGCATGTGTATCTTTTCATTAATTTTTCTCCAATTTTTTAAATGAGGAAGTTGAGAAATTAATCCATTCAGTATGGGCATGTCGTATATGCATCAGCAGCAAACATTACCTGGCGGCCGGGTGTCTCTAATTCACTCTATGGCCGGGCATACCATATTTGACTTTTTTAGATAGAATATTTAATTAGTATTTTTATAGCCACTAGATGTTGAAATATATCGAAAGTTAAGTATGTTTACCTTCAGTCTTACCCAATGTTTTTCATTTTTTGTATTTCGTTTCCGAATGATGTTATGTCTCTTTAACTGTATCATTTGATATAAACAAATGCACTTGTTCTCACTGCATTGAGGTACTTTTTAATTTTATGATATAGTGGGATAGATGCTCTATCATAAGAGTTTTTTTATTATTCAGAGATTTTTCCTTTTTTTATTACTCTGAAATTTTTCCAGCATTCAGATGAATATTTTGGAAAGCAGTATCTGAATGTAGAATATACACAAATGCTAATTCATTAGTTTTGAGTCATGTAATGGCTCTTACTGGGTCATTTTATATAAGCAAATGAACATGTTCTCGATGGTCTGGAGTACTTTTTTAATTAATTTATTATTCATTTTTCTTAATTTTATTTTATTTTTAAATCGGATTATAGTGGAGTAGATTTTCTATCATTAGATACTTTTTTATTACACTTTGAGTTTTCTGGCATTGAGATGAATATTTTGTACCGCTTAGTGAAAGTTTTTTTTTTTTTTTTAAATGGGAAAACGAAGGCACTATCTCACCGTAGAACAACATACACAAATGCTAAATGAGTCAAATTTATTGAGTAAAATAGCAGCAGATATTCTATTCCTGTGACATATGCAACATTTTGCGTACACCCATGTTTCAAAGAATATCATACACTCTCTTTTTTTGAAATATTGCTTCCTTTTTGTAGCTTGCACATTGAATTTTTATGAAAGACAGTTTTAATATTTTTAATTTTAATTATGTGTTGTGTTAAATAAAATCTGCGATTGTTTGGATATTTTTCCATATACAGTCAAAAGTATTTAATCCGGACGTCCATAATCCGTAATGATCTATAATTCGAACCTCAAAGCTGCAAACTTTTCTGTGCATGCGTAAATGCATTATTCGTTTATGTGCATAATACTTTACGCATGTGCTTTTAATTTATAACGGATGTTATAAGCTAAGCTAAAATTATCTAATTATCTATTTCAGTTAATGTTGCAGATAGCGTTGTTCCTTAATCTTCTAACTGGATCCGGCTTATTATTTTTTGCAGACTGTTGGAGTAGTTTTATAAAAGTAAGCTCAAACTTTTGTTTATATCAAAAAGAATTTCCGATTCTAGAGCTGCCAAAGAATCTACAAAGCGAAAGCGTGTTTCGATGTCCATCAAACAAAAAGTGGAATTGCTGCAAAAAATGGATAAAGGCGTATCCTTTGTTTCTCTAACCATTCCGAAATCTGTTTATCAATTTCGCGCTGCTGTGCAGGGGAGGGGGACGTCGCAGCGAGCAATGAACTGGAAGTTGATCTGTGAGCACTATCCTTATCTCCAGGGCAGATGTTTTTATTTTATTCGGCTTATAATTCCTTACTAAATGTAGTATTTCATCTCAATGTACTCCGTCTTTGATATGATTTAAATCAAATTCATCGTCATTATAAATACCACGAATACACATCAAATAGTTTTCTGGTTGCCATTTTCTAAATTCGACTATGCATAATGTATACTTTACGCATGCACGCATTGAAAGAAATGTTTAATAAAGTAAAAAAATAAATATTAAGCCTTTTTTTTTTTGTAAATTTTAATACCCTTTAGATTATAATTGCTCTATATTTCATAAATTACGGTTTCATATTTTTTAATTTTATAATTTCTGCATGCCATCTTACCAGATATAAATTGATGATCTATAATCCGGAAAAACCGATAATCTGGAATTGCTGAAGTCCCTACGAGTCCGGATTAAAGACTTTTGACTGTATATTTATTTGTGGGATAAGGGGGAAATCAAATTATTCTAGAATGAGTATTTTATAAGATTTTTAAGGAAAATATTATAATAAAGCTTAAAAAATTAATTCTGACAACTACCGGAATGTTCTTCTCATAATGTACCAAAAATTGGAACAATTGGATGAAAAATTTAATTTATACGAATTTTTTTCAAAAGTTAGGCTTAGCAGCGGGAATTGCCCGTCCCCACAAGACGACGCTTCTGGTTAACGCGCCATCGAAAGACCGCTTCGGTAACAGAGATGCCCGTCTTGAATGGGTTAAAATCTGCATCTTAGAGCTCAGATTGATTCAAAATGAATATGATTTCGAAATCAATTTAATAAATCAATTTTAGTGAAATGCATCCTTTTAATTTAAAGAATAATCTACTGGTGTCTGCTTTTTTGTACTATTTGCAATTACAAGTATATAATATCTATAACTCATTAACCCATTGGTTACACATTTATTTGAAAATTGTTTGCTCTTGGGGCATATTTAATTTTTTGGGTAAGTAAGAACAGTAGATTTTATGCAAGAATTGATTTATTTCGTATTATTTATTATATATACTTTTACATAATATTGAAATAACTTTAGGCAGTTAGTGTTACAAAATACTTTTTAACAAATAAACTGGTTATAATAAATAACAAATAATCAATAGTTTTGAAGCATGTGAAAACATGTTGGTAAATGCAGTGGTACTTTGTATTCATTGCACTGCCAGGTAGTATCCTGCCTAATTTGGTGTTGACATATCAGAATGTTACGTGGATCTCTGCCCAAACAAATGCATGATGTACTTATACGTCAAGTGTATCCAAAAGGTTAAGCATTTTTCAGTGCTTTCTGATTATGTTATGAAAAGTCACAAAATCATTGGAGAGCATTCGTGAATCCGTTGCGCTCGATGGTCATAGTACTTCTGATTACAAAAGTGTTTTAAGCAATACAAATATTCATACTATTTTCAAATTTAAAAAGAAAAAATTTTTATAAAAAATATGAAATTTTGCTTTTTTATGATCTTCCCCGTTTTTATACTTATATTTGGTAAAATTTTATGCTCATTCAAAAATAAATAAATAAATAAAAAATTTCCTTCCATGTAACAAAAATTGACACAGATATTTAATTTCAAAACTTGGGATTCTTTTAAACTTTTTAGGGTCAAAAACAATGTATTACTTTCCGTGAGGAGTTGATTAAAATGTAAATTAAAATAATTTGAGGATAGTTTTTTTTTATTTCATAATCATTGAGTGAATATTCCTATATAATTTACCAATGCATAATACTTTTAAATCTGTAATTTAATTACAGTTGGTGTGTCAAAAGCATTTTCGAACTCATCATATGCTTTTATTTAGCTCGCTGATTATTTGCCATTTATTTTTGGACTATTTCCTGATAAGTTATTGAGGCAATAATATTCCAATACATTTTTTAAAAATACTTTGCTTCTATTAAACTGTATGATTTTTTTTTTTTTTTTTTTTAGTCCATTAGTTGTTTTATCCATTTAAATAAAAGCATATTTCATTAAAAAATGTATTTGTTTATTTGTACATTTTTAAATACTAAAAATATGTTAATGATATTTGCATGCATTTTTATTAATTTAGGATCATTATTTAATAACTGTGCAAAACTGTTCTTTGGAAGGGAAATATTTTTCAGTTTTGATTCATGTAAATAATGTTATGAGTTTGCTGTGTGTCAGTACATGAAGTCTGCTGCTGTTTTATAAAATATGAACTTTTCAAGATTTATTTTATTTATTTATATTTTTTTTTTCATGTTAATCTGCATATCAGTACTTAACATTTATCTACATATCAATACTTATCATTTGATTTATCAATATAAGAAACCTTTTTCTGAACTGATATTTTATTGCAGTTACATATAAGTTTAAGTATTATGTTCTTTAAATTGTGAAAGACCTCTGAATTTTCAGACATATAATTTTAAAATTTATAATTAAATATCTTGATCAATTTTATGATGGGGGTGGTTAAACTTTGTGTCTTTTATTTTTTAAATTAGTAAAAAAGGTACTAAATTTAATTGTAGGGACCAGGAGAGCATGTAAAAATTTAGCTTTAATAATTTTAATAAATTTGAAAAAATTTAAATATGAATAGAATATTTGCCTTGTTTAAAACATTTTTGTAAATGGAAGCATAAATCTGTGAGCAAGGGTTGCAGAAAACTTCTATGGCCATGCTATATAAAATAATCCACTGGTAAATATAAAACTCAATGAAACATCAATGTTTCATACATTTAGAATTACAGTATTAGAATTTAGAATTACTTTTATGAATTACAGTATCTCTCTGTTTTGTTTGTATTCTGAAGCTATTGTAATTAAAAACAAAAAGTATCATAAAAAGCTTCATTTACTGTTTTTCTTTATGATAACATTTTCTGTTTTTGAATCTGTTTATTTGTCTTCATTTTTTTAAAAAAATCTGTACTGTCGTATCAAAATTACAAATGCTTGAAGCATTCATATTTTACAAAAATGTGCATTAACGTCATTTCATTAACGTCAGTTATAAAGTGAATTTAAGTAAATTTGAAATTCTTTTGAAATGGTATCATTACGTAGCACGAAAACCTTCTGGAAACTTGCATGTTTTCATATTTGTAGATATGCATGTGATAGCAGTGTTTTATTCCACTTGATAACAATTCTTTGTTCCTGAAATCAGAATAGACTGTGGGTCAATATCCTCTTCATCCACTTAAAAAATAAGTAAATAAAAATTTAAAAAAAAAAAAAAAAAAAAAAAAAAAAAAAAAAAGAATAATTTTCTCTTCTAAAATAACTGCTATTTCTTAGTTATATTCTCTATCATATGTAAGTGCATAAAAGCATTTCATATGTAAAGGTAGCTTGCAAACATTTTTTTTTTGCAGGTTCAATGACGTTTTCTAGCTACCACATACATGATCGCATATAGCAATGTCTAAATCGGTAATCAGTTTATTTGCAAATCAAGGAGAAAAATTTGAGATCTGAAAAAAAAAAATTATTTCAAAAACTTATGACATACAATATTATATCAGTCTTTAAATTTTCTAATCTACTGATTGCTAGCATTGAAATCAAGATATCCAAGTTCAGTGGCTAAGATTGCTACCCTACTTTGTGCTACTGATTTGAAAATTACAATCTGTAGTGTCTTTTAAACAATAAAAAGAGCATTTTTCCAACATCATATGTGAATCATTTTTCCAAACCTACCAAAATGTTTCTTATCATATGAATGATTAAAGACTACATCTGTGCACATATTTTGCATTAGCAAAACTGGTTTTATAGTGGAAAAATGTGATTCAATGTTTAAGCAGGGAATTTTTCATCATTTTAAAATAACCTTGAAATTTTTCTGAAATGTAGCTTTAGTGTAAGCATAATTTTATTTTAACTTTGTTTGGACAATGCCCCCCTTTCTTTTTTTAAAGACTTAATCATGTTACTAAAAATTTGTAATTTTTATATTAAAAGCATCACTTTGTTTAACTAAAATGATAGAAAATTAGTGGAGATTATGCATTTAAAAATTGCATTGGTTCTCAATTCTCCATAACTGAAAGTGTTCACTTTGTTCTTTGTGTTTCCAACATGCTAAGGGGGGAAAGTCCTATATTTAATCCTTATTGCACATTATTTTGTGAAATAATTTGAAAATAAATAAATAACTTATGGGAACCTTTTGTAGAGTCACGTTTTAATTTTGATAATATTTTTAATACATTTGATATAAAACTGTTTACTACCAGATTTTAAAATGGATTTCAACCATACGAATTTTTAAATTTCAGATGTAAGTAATGTCTTCTACAGTTAATATATTTATTCCTTTATCATTACTTTTTACAGGGTGGAGGAAATGTTGAATTAGTTAGTGGTGGACGAGACATTAATGTCACTGCTCAGAATGTTTATGATTACATTCAACGCTATGCTGAATATCGAATGCTAAAATGTCAAGAAAAAGCTCTTTCGGTAATATCACTTTTTTATTGTTAGACACATATTGTTACTTAATTTGAGGAGAGAAAAGCTTTAAGGAAGTAGTTCTTTGAGCTTTAATTTGATATCATTTGAAAAAAAAAAATTAATTTTTTCAAGTGATTTACAAGTTTTTCTTTTTATTTGAGGGTTTTAAATGTTTGTAGTCTTGTTTTCTAGATTAATGCTCGGATCTAAATAAACAATCTGGTAGTATTTTTTTAATTTATTTATTTATTTATTTATTTATTTTTTAAAGAGACCTTCAGAGTATCTTTTAATGCAAATCAGTGATTGAAAGGATGATGTGCTAAGTAATTTAAAATTACTGCATAACATTGTCTTCTAATAAAGTGCTGGCATTTTTATGATGGAGCACAGTTTTGAAGGTTTGTTCATAACTCTATATAAAAAGAAATAGTTGCAGTAATTTCAGTGTCAAAATATGTACTGTATGTCAATAATATGGATGGCAGTGGCATTTGAAAATACATGGGCAACAATGAATGACAGAAGTCATACTAAAATTGAATCTCTTTCACTGATCTTCGTTGTTGGTGATGAACTTTTATGTATGAATGGGAGGTTCCAGAGTATTTCTGTATCTTTATTTATGTTTGCTGGGAAGGTATTTTAAAAGTTTTAGAAGCAAATCATAAAATTTCTGTTTCCATCAAGCTACAGTGAAGCAGGACTACATAGGCGCCAATTACCCACCATACATAGGGAAAAGAAATCACCCAGGTGTCACCAAGCCTTCTACTATACATACACACAGCTTTCTCGTAAAGAATAAAAGCTGGAGAGTTGCCTGTTGGTCAGTATTTCAGCAACATCACAAAATTTGTTACTAAATTTTTAAAAAATCTGAAAGATTTAGATTTTACATAATGTCCAAAGAGACACTTTTTTTTTTAACCTTTTATGTGTTACCCTTATTTATTAAGTCTTCTTTGCACTTAAGCCATAAAATTCAATTCAACAGCAATATTGGAAAATAATTTTTAAAATGAGCATATCTTTAGAATTTCTGATGCACAGTCTCACATGCTGGAGATAAAACTTTTTTTCTTCCATACAGTTTTGCCATTGCTGGCTTTGAAATCATTGAGTTTGTTATCCAAAAATTCATTGAAGTGTTACAAAATATGAAACCAATAATAAAACAAATTTCAAATTCCAAATTAGGGCTTCCAGACATCCATATTCTGTCGAAGATTATGTTATTCAAAATTTGATTACTTTAGGTACCGTTGTTTTATCACAATGCAAAAAAATACATATATTTATGCAGATTTTTCATTATTTATTTTCTTTAAATATAACACAGTATGATAATTTGGTGGCAACAATTTAAAAAGGGAACTGACATTTAAAGTTTTCAATGCAAAATGCCAAAACAAAATTAATGCCTCTTTGGGCTTTACATTTAATATGCCATTAGGGAACATGTTATGAACAGTTCAGTTGTGGGAGTTATGGAAGACCATTTATGTTGTATTTCTAAGCAGTTTTATTCCTAAAAGAGACATAAAAGATCATAGAAAGTTATTTATTGAGGAACTTTCTGTTATGCTGTTTTTTGTAATAAACTTTAAGCATGTTTTATTCTTATCTTTTTGAGTAGTAATATTTTTTATATATATATATATATTTTCTTTGTGCATAAATCAGAAACAGTCTTAACCAAGCAATTATTTTTAATTTCTATGGTTTTTGCATCAATGTTATTTTTTTAATATATGTATATTTATAATAAATAATATTCCTTGCTGAAGCAAATTGTGTTAAATTTCATTTCCATTAAAATAGTAATTGAAATAAATGACTTAAATTTTGAAAGCAATTTTCTGGATAGAAATGTAAATATGTATTCAAATGTAAAAATGATTTAAACAATGAAAAGATGAATGGATAATAACGTAATAAAATAAGCTTTTTAAGAGAGCAAAGATTTGTGAGATTATGTGAAGAAATTGTGAAAATGGTGTATATGCGTAACTTTTATTAATTTATTTATAGCTTTTTCAATTTGAAATTTTAGGCTCTTCGAGCTGGTGTGTATGATGTATTACCACAAGGAACTTTTGATGGATTGACTGCTGAAGATTTTCGCCTTCTCTTAAATGGTGTTGGGGAAATTAACGTACAGACTTTAATTAGTTACACTTCATTTAATGATGAAAGTGGTAAGTCATTGTGTTTATGTCATTGCCACCACTGATCATTTATTTATTTCAACAGCATTCTTATTGTTTTACTTTTTTCAACAAATGTGGTTTTTTTTAAAATAGCCGAAGGGGGTGGCGATAGGCTACTTCGATTTAAAAGGTGGTTCTGGTCTATTGTGGAAAGGATGTCTAATTTTGAAAAACAAGATCTAGTAAGTTAATTAAATTTTACTTACTGTTTGAAACTGTATAATTAATGAGTAGAAGTTTCTTTTTCTAGAAATGCTAAATTTCACTGTATTGCATAAAATGGATTTGAAGATGAGCTGTTTCTCCTCTTTTTTCAAATTCATTTCAGGTATTTAGAGAATTCATAATGTGTAAGATTTTTTTATGTTTAAAATTACTCTCTTTGAAGAACTAAATTTAATTTTCAACTTGTGGAAATCCAGAGTAGTCATTATTAATTTAAGAAATTTTCCATTTTTATTTGCATTGATGTTACTGAAAAAGGAAAACTATGATTTAACAATTTTTTTTTTAAATTAAAAAAGTCTGAAATTAGAGGAAAAATCGAACGTATATTCAAAGATAATTCTTTTCTAAACTTTATGTAAGTACTCACAATATACTTCCAGGTCTGAGGTTATTGAGGATATGCATTGTGAACCTTCAAAAAATGAGAAAATGGCCATACAGCAACAAGCCTAAAGTTTAATTATTAATTTATTTTAAACATGATGTTATCAAAATCATTTACAACATTCAGAATGGTTAAGATGGTCAGTGCTTACTTGATGTGAAAATTTGTTTGTTAACCCTCTCAGTGTTACGACCGGAAAATTCCGTACAGAAGGTTGCCTTCCACATTCATTATACAAATAAAATTTCTGCTAGCTTTTAATGAATCCGATTTCAGTTTGGATGTATATTGGAAGAAAAGGAATCAAGGTACAAAATGAAAGAGTCGTCATTTTTTAATTAAAATGAAGAAAATATCACTTATTCGTGACATTTTGAGGAACTTTGAAATTTCAGGGCTAAACCCGTAACGCTCAGAGGGTTAAATGCATGAAATGTAACATATCGAACATAGTTCTGATTTATATTATGGCTTACTTATTCATATTCTTTTATTGTACAGATACTTCAGGCTATTCTTATTATTAATGTAAGAATAGTCTGATGTATTTAGAATCGTGTGTGATAAAACATGAATGCATGTGATTAATCAGCCCATCAATTAATAAACAGTAATTGAAATTATGTCAATGAGATGCAGTAAACAATATTACCGATTATAAACCATCAGTACTTTTCTATTAACAAGACACCAATTAACCCCAAATAAAAGTTGATGCGAAATCCAATTAGATGGCGGTAACCACAAACCCTTCTTACAGCTATACTTGTCATTTGGAAGGCTTTCCAAGCTTGTGAAACAACACTTTTATCAATTCCAAACTCTTGGGCAACACACTTTAAACTGCACCCCTTCAAAAGCTCCCCAATAATTCTACCACATATAAATGCATCCTGTTATTTACTTGTAGCCATACTGCACATGCAGCCTTACTTTCACTTGCAGAAGAATGCGCTTCCTTTCTTTTAACCCCTTAACTGCTGCAGAAAACGTACAAGATTCATTTCATTTTTTAGACCAGTAAAGTGTAATATCAGGTTTCAGTGTTATACCTTGTGAAATCAGTATGCCTAAAAAAACATATATTTCTTCTGAACTGGTTGAATGCCACGATTTTGTTCTTGATTTTTCATTTGCAAGGTGTTAGTTCATATACTCGTCTACAAAACAGTTAGTTTCAGTAACAATATGAAGCACGAGCAGTTCATCAAAAAATAATCAAAAAAGATAAATGGGTTTGAAACATCTGTTATATCTTTCTTTATTCCTGGAACCTACTACAAAAAGTAATCAAAAACGGAGGACACAAAAAAGTACGTTTTACTCAAATAACACCAGCCAATACTGCGCAGTCATTACTTTCACGGCTTTAGACACATCCCTCTCTCCAGTTTCTCCCCACACTTCTCTGAAATAATATCTTCCTTCACATACTTTGTCAAGATCATTGTGGTGTTGCATTCCAAAGCTTTGCAAATAATTTCATGGGTAGCAACACAAAGCAAATTGTAGTATTTTGGAAGGGCATATATATACGCCCATGGCAGTTAACGCATCGGCTGAGCAAGGCATATATATACTCCCGTGGCAGTTAAGGGGTTAAATTGCATGTGTTTTGCATGCCCTCATATACCCTCTGAGTCATGGTGCTGGTTTTTGCATTTGCTTCACCTTCTGAATTGGATTTTCACTGTACTGATTGTAAAAAGCCCTTTTCTACAGTTTTCATGTTCCCCCTACACCAATGCAGCCAATAGAGAGATTTAGACCTTATTCCACTCAGAGATCCGAAAACTACAAAAAATACAATAGTAATGCAATAGAATACACAATGCAATAATTTACACAGAGAAGTCAAGTACAAAGAAAAATTACACAAAAAGAAAAATGTAATGGATAAAAGTTGTAGATTAAGAGGTTTAAACAATCAAGTCTGCAATCATTTTAAAAGGTCTTAAGCCTCCCAGTATCTTGAAAAAACACAGTTCTGAGAAAGCGCTAAGCAGACAAGGAGATGCCCAGCATTAATCACCGCACCATTGCAGCAAAGGGGACAGGCAGGACTGTCAATTATTTGGAATCTGTGAAGATGTGCATGTCATGCATTGTAGCTAAACAAAAGGCAGGTACAGCGCTGCTTCTGAGATAGTTTGGGAGATTATAGATGTCACTTTCTCAGAGTTTATTTCTTGCTCTTTCATTTAAACGTGGCAGTTGCTTGGCCTTGAAGGTGAAACTGATCTTTGATGATATAGATCTGGCCATTTGAAACATGAATATTATGGCATCACCTTTTGGCCATCACCTTTTCATACAATGCTGAAAAAGGAATGAATTGGCCCAAAAGGGCTATTATTCTTGAAACACAGTTTTGCGTTTTTTCACTTTTCATTTGAATTTGTGTTGCCATTCAGCAAAATGTAAATTATTTATCTTTTGAATTTAATATGTCTTTTATTGATAAATAAATATATCTATTTAAAAGCAGTAAATGCAGTTGTTAAGAGCATTAGTTTTTTTACTTTTTAATTGGATTGATTTAAATAAAAACGCATTTAATTAAAGATCTATCTGATGTTTTGTGCACTAGTGTATGCATAATGTTAAATCTATGCAATTGCTGAATTTGTGCAATTCTCTGATTTCTATTTATATGAAAATAAAGCACTGTGTATAATGGGGATGGTGCCAAATATCTACAATTCTCTGAAGTTTTTTAAGCAATTCATTTTCACACACACAAAAACAAAACAAACAAAAAATGCACAAATTCAGTATTGGGCACCCTACATTCTACACATCTATTCATGATGCAATTTACACCCTGTTAACAGAAAAGAACCGGATTGTCAGTCAGTTAATATAAAATATGAAAAAATAAGCTATATTTTAGGTAGTAAAATCAGTTGCTTAAATTTTTAGTATCTAACTCATCATTTCTCAATTTTCAGAGTTGTGAAGCATAAGTATTCAAGTATCACATATCTGTTCTTGATATGCTGATGGTGTCTAAATATGTATACATTTCATATAATTAGAGATATGTTTGGACATTAGCCATTTACAATCAAAGATCACTAAAGATCACTGTTTGCAATCGGAGATCACTGTTTATCACTAAAGTCTAAACACCTGTTTCCTGGACCCTCTTTGAGAAACATAAGATGAACCTCATTTAAAAACATTAAACTTTCAGTTAAAGTTTTTTCACTTACAATATTACACTAGGGAACAATTTGTAACAGAATTTGAGTTTTTGAGCTATTTTAGAGTTAAATAGGCATGTTGATTTTAAAACTGTAGTTAGTTTTCTTCTACCACATCAAGTTTTTTTTCTTACACCTTGCATGAATGTGACCACTGTCTGCGGCATTGAGCATGGATTATAGGATGTACTGCTATCCTAAAGGCTGACATAAACCCTCTGATTAGCACCAGATGAATGATGCCACGTGAGACCAGCGACAGATGCACACTTTATTAAACTAGTTCAGTTATGCCTGAGATATGTTGTGTGTTGCTCTGATATATTGGAGCATATTCCAACATGGAGCCCAAGTTCTTGTTTGTATACAAGATTAGCAGTGTTTAGTTTTATTTATATTTGAACTGAAACCTTTCTTTATGTGTGCCTCTGCTAGTTTGTGTCATAATTGCTTAAGCAGCCCCGATTCATTTTGTTATATAAATGACAGTTTTACCATTCCCAGGCAAAGGACAAAGATCAGTATATTTGTCTGGCAAACCTATTACCTATTTTAAAGTGAAAATTGGACATCAAGATAAATCATGGGCTCCTCACAAACACTGTGCTTAGCTGTATGTCGAGAGTTAGTGGATGTGGATGAAAGGGCACATTCTAAATTTCCATTTGGTATACCTCTGATTTGGCGAGAGACCAACGATCATTCAAGTATTGTTAACTTTTGTATAGTGAAAATGTCAGGATACAACAAGGAAAAAAAAAAAAAAAGTATGCTAGTTTTTATATGTCTAGTGCCTAGTATCAGTTTTCAAAGAATTAGTGCCTTTGGAAATACAGGACTACAATTCTTGTGAATATTGATTTGACACCCAATGATGTAGATTTTTATTGTAAGGAATTTTACCAGCATGAGTTGAATGATTTAGCTCGAGATTTAGGACTATATGAAAGAGCTTCAGAGCTGTGTACATTAAGACTGCTCAAGAAAATTTGCTTGAAAAAGGAACTAAGTTATCTTACTTTCGATCAAGTGCATTTCTTCAATACTTTTGAAGTGGTGATGAATTTATATTTTGCCATAGCATACATGGTTTAATGGAAGAGTTGGGAATTTCAGCCAATAACACAACTCTAACCAATAACACACACTGGCGATTGTTCATCAGTAGCTCAAAGCAGAGCTTGAAGTGGGCCCTCCATCACAACGGAAATTTATTTGGTGCAGTCTCAATAGAGCATTTGGTTTTCTTATGTGAAGAATACGAAGACATAAAGAGTGTCATTGATTTGTTGCAATATCATATGCACCAATGGATCATCTTTGTTGACCTTAAAATTGTCTGCTACCTCATTGAGCAGCAATG